ACATCCTAATGTATGCGGCTTTACTGGCACTGTACGACTTTGTGACCTCGTAGCTCCTCTTAATTTTGATTAACAAATGTATTAGAAATATTTTTTTCTCCGTAGCGTTTTAATATAAGGAGTTAGAGATTTCAATCTAACGTGACTGTAAAACTTTTAATTTAAAACTAAATCTGATCAAAATATAATACCTGCTAATTTAAAAAATAATTCTTCGTTATTTTAGATCAATAAAATCTGTTTTATTATATAGATAGAAAATTGGACCATTTTTATGCCGATATTTTGATATTTATTAACTTTTTATCAAATTTTGCCTGTCAGTTTGTTTTTGCACCAAGTTATATATTGCAATTTAATTATGGCCATTAGCCAAGAAATAAAAAATTAAATGATATTTTTCCCTAAGTACCGCTCTCACATACAATATTTAAACTATTTTTGTTTAGAAACATATTTGAATCAAATCTTTTATGTATCATTTGACCTTTGCCTTTAAAAATATACTTTGTTTATCTTGTATCTTAATTTCTTCTCAACTTTACCGAGGCTAGATTATGTCTTCAATCAACATAAAAACATGGGAAAAAAATATTACAAGTAATTTTCAGTTAAAATACTTACAACTTCTAAAAATCAAACTTTGAATTAAACCTTGTTTTCCTCCTTTGCCAAAATCTGCACACTTCAGAAGTTCGCAGATATATTGTGAGGCAGGGGGGGGAGAATAGGCTATGGGGTGGGCTCATGGGGGAGGGGGTGGTCCGAGGATGCTGAGGATTCTGGGAAGTTAGGGTAGCAGGGTTCAGAGGGTTCATTCAACCAACCTAGATTTAGAAAATTTAATTTCAAAACTGGAAATTCAATGTTCTTTCACAATTGAGTTTAAGTAGATGAAAGCTGTAAAAGATTTAAACCTGCGCCTCAATTTATGGCAGCTCTGGCTACTATAACGAGAACATTTTTTATTTTTGTTTGCATGAATGCTTTCTTTCATGTTGAAGCATAAAATACGCATTCCTTTTCGCCTTTTCGGTCCGAAACCACGCGCAGTTTCTGCGCATGCAAACTCTTGCTAATCGATATTTGGCAATTGTCGACCCCTGCCGGTCTTTGCAGCTTCAAGGCTGGCTATTCTCCGTTTAAATTTAAACTTAAAGTCAAACTTACAGAATAAAGAAAAAAATTGTGTTTTGACTAAAACAATATCTTTAAACATCAAGATTGTTTTAAGATTTGCGAATTTTTGCAATTACTTAAAGGGAAGAAGAAAATCCCCGAAAGGAACTGGCCCGCTGCAGCCCAGTGCGGCAGCTGAGCGGCCGCTGCGCACTCCGCTTCACTTGCAACCAGAGTTCAAGGACGTTTAGTCCGGGCCGGTACAGAGTGTATCTGCTGCTTTTATGTGCACCCAGCCTCCGGTAGGAAAGATTCTCCGTTCATCCCCTTCCACCCCTGCAACTAGAAACGCATACAAGGATCTATTCTTCACTTTAATTTATTTAATTCTCAACAATTATTCTCCTCTTTTTCTGATTTGTAAACACAGGGTTTGATCTAAAATTTTTTGAATTGCGTTCGAGTTGTGAGAATCTTTCCTGCTTTGAGAACTAAGAACCAAGAAACATCCGGGCAGGCCAGGCGGCTCTCGCAAGTCAGGCAGGGTGGAACCTCAGATTACCCGAGTTACAACTATGAAAAAAGTATGCTTAATTTGCACATTTATTCAATCTTTTCAACATTCTAATTAATCTGTGACTGTTTGTGAACACATTGTTTACCCTCAAGATGTGATAAAAAGTTATTTAGTGTTATTTTTAATGAAATATTGATAAAAAACGGAGGCATTTTACTGCAGTATTCTTGTATACTGTATACTGTAAATATAACTGCAAGAGAGTGGGAGTGGGGAGGGGGAGGGGAACCACTGCTGCAATTATAAATTAATTAGCATAGTCATTATAAAGCATAATTTTATAGTTTATTTAAGTATTAAATATGTGGTAGAAAATTTAAGAGGATGTGTGTCCGCATTTAACTGGAAATTTACTTTTTACTATTGAAATAAGCTTGCACAAATATTTTTGAAATGAAATATAATGTACGAAAAAGAAATTATAAAATAATTAAAAAAACATATTATCTAAATAAAAAAACACATATACATATACATATACATATACTAGTCAATTTGTTTATTTGAACATATTATTTTGTTTGCAAAAAATCTAATTTAGATGTTTTATTTCTTTAATGTCTAAAACAAGACTGAAAGCCTCTAACTTATTTCGTAGCATTTGCATCTGCAAAATAGCTTGCGAAAAGGAAATGTGTGCAAAATTTAGAGCAATGTCTGAAAATTTGCAACCAACGAGACAAGTCTAGAATTGGGTTTGGGTTGGCTGGCTATATTTATAAAATCATTTCTAACTTTCACAATTTCTAGGGGTCCGGTTTCTGCCCCCCCCCCCCCTTCGGCCCCGCATTTGTATTTCTTAAATAGACATATAAATTTTGTTTTAATTTTACTTTTGATTAAATTATGGTAAAATGCCCAGACTAGTAAAAAACTGAGTTTTGTCACAATAAAATTTTCTCAACCCTTTATCTTTGCAACCTGATGTTTTTAACCTTTGATATTTCAAATCTAAATTAATTTATCCATTATCTAACAGAATTCACTGCTTGAATAATTTCAACGACATAGGGTTGCAAAGATTATGGTTTAGTAAATCAAAGTTTATGGCTGAAACTCAGTTTCTTTATACCTTGTGGGGACCCAGCCTTGTCCGAAGTTTTACCGATACAAGGCAATCCACTCAATTTAAAGCAGTGCTTAGGATCCATTTAATTTTAATGCGGATCCGGATCCAATCCAGAATCCGCATTCAAAAAAAATGTATCCTGATCCTAAGCACTAATTTATAGGTTTCAAACCATACTAGAAACATTTCCAGGGTTCTTCCAAGTCTCAGCAATCAAAGTTAGAAGCAAATCTATAAAGGGTTCGTTCATGAGTTATGATCCGACACAAAAAAAGAGTTATAGATAGATAGGAAACAAACATACAAGAAATACCTTGTTTAAATGTTACTTTATAGAAACTCTTAAAGTTCACAAGCCTCTTTAATTATTAAAGTCGGACCGAGCTATTTTTTGCGTTGTATGAATTTTGTATGCATTGTAACGTACAGAACTATGCCCCAATGACGTTTTATTAAAGCAAAACGTTTGTCATCTTTTAGATCTTAAACCAAGTGAAAGTGTAACGTAAGGTCTCTGAAAATATTTACCTTGCATGAAAGTGGAACGTTAAAAAATTGTGGTTTCATTACATAAGTTTTAACGCAACGTTGGGAAAGTTTTTTAAAACGGGAAATGCAAAAGCGTAACGGAGGGGGGGGGATTACAACATAAGGAAAGGAGTAGGAGGTTTAAAATTTACTCCGTATCTTTTTCACACACAAAATATTTGCACAAAAAGATATAAATTTTCTCACAAAATATTTGATTTCAAGCTGCAACAAAAATCTTTCGCTTGAAGCAAATTTTTTTTCCTTCTTTGATAGAAAGGAATTGAATCTTTTCCGTAAACTCAGTTTTTCTAATCCCATGCTTTGCAACCCAATGTCGTAGACCTTAGACCAAGATTTTCACCGTAAAGTTGCAAAGATATAGGGATTATAAAAGTTTTTATGAATAAAATATATATGTGTTATTAAATAAAAATTATTATTATCATATCAAGCTAACAAATTTAACCGGAACTTGGGAAGCTATAGCACTGTTTTGAAATAATTTGCACTTCATGCACTTAGATGAATATAAGCTAATCTGATCATCACTGACTTTGTTTATATTCCTTCCAGAAACTGCAGTACACTTATTTGTAAACAAAGCTATTGCATTTCCCGGTATATTTCTTGTATTTAACAGTTTTTTTATTTATTGTATTTTCTTCATCCAAAGAAATTCTCTATAAATTAATTATCTATATTTTAACATAGGGAAGGGATACACATATGAGTTGCTTAAATATTTTACACTACTCAAAAATATCATTTGTTTTGCACAGAAATTAAGGTGAATGTAAAACAATATTAAATATTTTACACTACTCAAAAATATCATTTGTTTTGCACAAAAATTGAGATGACTGTAAAACAATATTAAATATTTTACACTACTCAAAAATATCATTTGTTTTGCACA